CCGAGCCGAACCGAACCAGGCCTAGACCGAGCGGAGCCGAGTCGAGCCGGGCTGGGCCGAGCCGAACAGAACCGAATCCAGCCTAGACCGAGGAGAGCCGAGCCGGACAGATCCGAACCTAACCTAGACCGAGCCGAGCTGGGCAGAGCTGGGCCGAGACGAACCCAGCCTAGACCGAGCGGAGCCGAGCCTTGCCCGAGCCCCAGCCAAGCCGTGCCGAACGGGAAAGGACCCGTGCCGAGCTGAGCCGAGCGGAGCCGCACTGACCCAGCCAAGCCTCTCCGAGCCTCGGCCGCTCAGCTGCCGAAGTCCCGGCGCTCGGCGGAGCCGTCCCGGCGGCGGGGGCGGCGCGGGGCCGGGCCGGGCCGGGCCGGGCCGCCGGTCCCTCCTCCCCGATCCCCCGCTGCTCCCCCTCCGCTCCCTCCCGTTCCCTCCCGCTCCCTCCCCGCCTCCCTGCGCAGCGCGAACATGGCGGCGGCGGCGGCGGCGGTGAGGGACTGAGCAGCGCCAGCGCTCGGCGGCCGCGCAGGTGAGGGGCGGCCCGGGGCGGGCGGCTCGGATGGGCTCGGTCCGGCCCGGCGCGGGGAGGCGCGGCGGGGCTGGGCCCGCAGCCCGGCCCGGATCTCATCCCTCCTGTCAGCGCGGCCCGGCCGCCGCCTCAGCGCGGTTCCCGGGCCGGGGGCGGCTGTCACCGCCCGCACCTGCTGGTGCCCGTCCGGGACCGGCCCTGCCGGGTCTGGGCAGCGCCCCGGGAGCTCCCCGGCCCCGCGGCTGCCCGGCCGGGCTGTGCCTCCCGGGGAAGCCTCTTGCAGGGCTTTGTTGTTCTCCCGGGTGTCCCCGGGCAGGGCCTCGGGCAGCCGCCGTGCCGCCTCGCCCCGAGACCTCGGAGCGGTTCTCGGGCCGGCCGGAGCCGCCCCCCTCCCCGGCGCCGTTCGGCATCAGCCGGACGCTCCTGGCTGGAAAGGGAAAGCGGGACCTTTCCAGCGGGAAAGCTGCCGGAGGTTTGCAGGAGGTGGCCACGGCTGCGGGCTGTGCCCGGGGGGGGGATTTGTGCCCTTCCTCCCCCACGAGCCGTTCGGGGCTCGGTGACCCGCGCCTGTCACCCCTGTGTGTGTGTGGAGCTGCTCCCCGGTGCCCCCCGGGTCCTCCCGAGATCCCGCTGCTGGAGGTAGCAGGGGTGAGCCGGGGAGCAGCCGGAGAAATCCCATAACCACCATGCCTGGGGAAAAGCAAGCTGCGCCTCCTTCGCAGCCGCCCCGAGCCGAGTGCTGGGGTAGAGCTGGGAGCGAGACAAGATTTGAGCGTTTCGTGCACAGTGAGATGTTTAAAAATAACCCCGCTGACGGCTGGCTCCTGCCGCGCAGGTTTAATCCGCGAGCTCTTTGAAGCTCCCGTGTAAAACTGTGGCAGCACTTTGGAGTCTGCATGACTGAAGGTAGAGCTGGCAAATCCGAGCAGACGGCCTGAGTTTGGGATGCACGGAGCAGCTTGGCTCCCTGGGGTCTCGGATGGTTTAGGTTCAGCAGCTTAACATGAAACTAATTATTTCCATGGGGAACATCGGGATGTGAAGACCCAGCTCTGGGGTCCCCGGCTTTGATTTTTTGGCTGAGTTTCTGTTTACTGTTGTTGTTTATAGTAAACAGCGTGCACTGAATGGCTGGGAACAGCCATGTGGTCGCTGCAGTTCGCAGCCAGTAATATTGGGGGAAAATGTTCTTCCACCTCGGTTCAACGCCTGAGCGCCGGCTGCGGGCTGGGCCTCCTCCTCTCGCCTTCCTCTCCTCTTACTCTCAACTTCTGCTGGCCAGACTGTGCTGTCCATATGTGTTTGTTGGGAATATTTGGAGTATGGGATGGTGGTTTCATTCCTTGTGCTTCATCTCAGGCACCGGCGTGTGGCTTGGTGTTAATCTGGGGAACAAAACTTGGCTCGTGGGGGTCTCAGCCTGGGACGAGCTGCCGTGGTATACAGCCCTGCATGTGCTGGTGGGTAGTTCAGGATCTGCCCAGTAGATGGTATGAAAATGCAGATGGAAATCAGGGAGCCCCTTACAATGGGCACAAGGGAAATACAGGTATTTCAGTGCTATTTAAAATATTTATTTAAGTAAAAGTTTGAGTGTGTTCTATTTGTGAGAGATATGCTGAGTCTTGGTCCTCCTGGTTTGGTATTTACATCTTAGCAAGTGACAGTTCTGCATCTTGATAACCTGCTTTTCTTGAGGCACTTCTGTGGGAACCTGATGAATTTTACAGGACAATATGGTGTCTATAAGTAAAAGATGCTGTTAGGGTATTAAATGATGATCTTATTAATCAAGTAGCTGTGCTTCAGTCTAGACAGGAATGCTCTGGGAGCTGTGTCCCTGCCCTGTGTCTAATTTAACGGAATGTCTGAAACTTTGTTTCATAATCTCAAACATCAGAGACCTCCAGAGATGTCCTGGTTGTTTCCCAACCCTGGGTAAGGTCAGGTAGACTTCTAAACCCTTCCTGAGTAATAGTTCTTCTTTTAAAGTTCTTTGTGCTAGCAATTCCACATCCTGTGCAGGTGATGCATGCCAACACTTAGGCCTCCTCATCATTAGAGAGATTTTTCGGGGTGTTAATCTCAATCTTTGTCTTGCATTTTAAACCTGTTCTTTTTCTGATGTCCAGAGCTCATGGAGAGTGCCCTACTCCCCACATCACTCCACTTCCTACATGTCTGCAGCTCAGTTAGAAGTATTTGAAGACGTTTTTTCCCTCTCCCTAAGCTGAGCAAGATGAGTTTCTCCAGTCTTCTCACGTGGTCATGTCAGCCTGGCTGACCTCTGTCTCTGACTTGGGTTCTGCTTCCATTCACACTTCACCTAAAGTGCCGCGGTCAGTCAGGTACAGGACTGTGTCACTGGGGTTTCTGCAGAGCACTTGTAATAAGTTGGGCCCAAATTACCCCATTTTGGATATGTCTCAGCACTGTTATGTGAGGAGGAATGCAGATCACATGTTTGTGTATTTGTGCTTTTAACTGTGTGTTTGTGACAGAGGACTTGGCATGCTCGCTGAGCTCCTGTTTGCAAATCTGGAGTAGTGTGCTAGCAATGTGAGCTGTGCTGGGTTAAACCTTGGCATGTTTGGGGCTCATGTTTGAGCTGTAATGTTTTCATCTAGCACCCTGTTTTTTGTCTTTAGCACCTTTTTTTTTTCCTTGCCTGCTGCTGAAATTCAGTTTTTGCAATGAGACAAAAAGATTTTGAGTCGTTTATGCATCCATTTATGTTTGAGAATTTTGCTGACAAGGAGAGGTCACTGAGAAGTGAGGGAAGATGCATTGAGGACAGAGCAGCAACTCTGGCTGCCAGCTTCTCTTCTGAGATGGTTAATCTCCTGCATATAAGTAATTCAGAGACATGCCAAGGTAAAAATCATCTCCATAATTGAATTCTCAGAATTACTCTGACCCCTCCTTCATCCCAGCACTACATCCTGGTGTAGCACCTGCGCTCCAAGCTGGGACATGAATGTTTCATCCCACTTTATTTGCAGGATAACACAGCCTAATCTTAAAGGAAATGCATTTTCTGCCTTTAATAGAGTTGTAAAAAACTCCTTCCTCACCCAGCTTAAATATCTACCAGCGGAAGCTGTTTTAAAACATTTGCACTATGTTTAAGCTGATAGTACAAGTCTGAGAGCAGCAGGAAGCACAGGAAAACTTCCCTGTGTGTCACCAGGTCTCACTGGGCTTGGAGTGAACAAATCCAGTGACCTGAACTGGTGCTGTCAGAACTGGTATGTCAGAATGTGGGGGCACCTGAGCACTGGAGATCAGCACCTCCTCCTCTTGGCAAAGCTGTGCTCTGTCCTGGGTGGCAATCTCCCTTAGCAGGACATTTCAGAGGTGGGCAGAAGAAGAGATCAGTACAGGGACATCACTGCAGCCTGGCTGGTGATGAAAACAATTCCCAGAGATCTCTATCTTCATTCAATTCCCTTGAAAAACCAGAGTAATACTTAGTTCTTTTACTGAGGTTTCTTACACACACCACCTCTAGCAGATTTAGACACTGTGATATAGAGTTTGCAGTCTGCAGGGTTCACTCAGGCACCTACCAAATGCTTCTGCCTCTCTAGCAGGGATTTAAGCAGAGTTTGTGCTTGTGCCCCTGCTCTTAACTGGGCTGAATCTCACACTTTTATGCAGACTCATCCTGAGCGAAAAATCAAGAATTTGGCTGAGAACTGAAGGAAAAGATGAACATCTGTTTTGCTGCCTGTGCTGTTTGCGTGGCAGCCTCGTCCAGCAGGCCAGATGGACAGGTGATGTCTGAGCTGCTGCAGAGGAGCCTAAAGCCCTCGGCTTCCTGAGAGCTGACTTGATCAGCAGAGGGAGGTGACCCCTGCAGCTCCACGGCCTGCTTGGTAACATATCACTGGAGATAAGGAAACAGCAGAGTCGGTGAGGTCATTGCCAACACAGAGGAGCTGACGTGGGAGTTCAGGGCAGTGCTGGTTTTCCCTGGGACAAGCTTGTGCTTCTGCTGCTCTCCGTTTCTTGCTCAGAAGTTTTTTTCTGTTTGTATTATAAATTGAATGGTGTTATCACCAGTCAGAAACTAAACTCCTGCTGGAGTTGCCTCCTCCCTGACGATGTGCTCAGTTATCCAGCTCCAATTAGCTTGTACATTTTCCAGACTGCCACAGTGGGAACAGCCCAGAAACCTCCCCGTGGCTCAGGTTTGTTTTCAACAACGGAAACTGTAGGAGTAGATGCCAGTGGAAATTTCTGAAGCTCAGTGTTTGCCCACTGAGTTTCATGCAATTCCTTCCCTCTTCTGGCCCTTCCAGGTTTCACTGGACACTGGTCCAGGTCCTTTCTCCTAGGCATAGTGACAGGGGAGCAAGTTTGGTTCACCCATTTCTGAAGTGACATCTGCTGCTTGGAGGTCCAGGGAAGTAGGTGCACCCTTCTGATTCCTCAAGGTGCTGCTGATGTTTCACTCCAGGAAAAGATCCTGCCAGGAAAAATGAGATTTGTGCCTGGGGGGAGCTGGGGGATGCTTACAGTGTTTGAGCTCAGTGTTGGCAGAGGCTGCACGGGGTGAAGCTCCACCTGTGCTCCCCTGAGTGAGCCACGGTCCCATCGGCTGCTGCTTGCAGTCACCTCCCTGTTGCCCACCTGGAGAAGGTGGTGCTGGAACACCTGCAGCCAGCACCTGACCAGCTTTCATCCACTCTGCCTCCCTGTGCCACTGCTGCAGGGTGTCCCTGCTCCTGGGCCTCCCTCCCTTCCCATTTGGAGCAGCCCCTGCCTCCTCCCCCACGCTGAGCCCTCGGCAGAGGGATGCACGTCCAGCTGTGTCTGCAGCGAGAGGAAGGGCAGCCTGTGTTCCCTGTTCCCCCTTGCTCCCTCCTGGCTGTGGGAGCCTCCCTGGGCCACTGCCAGGGCCTGCCTGCCCTCCCTGTGTCCCCACAGCTGCAGGGAGGCCAGGCCAGGGAACCAGGCTGGGCTGCCACACCTTGGGGATGCAGACGAGCAGCACT